AGTGTTTTTCAATTAAAGCTAGGAATTTCTGTCCTAGTTTAATACTAACCATTTGGTTGAACGAGGGGTATATCAAATGATTTTTCTTTTCCTGTTTTTTTTTCGGGTTAGTACAATTGTTTCTATAATTGATGTTAGCATTTTTGTATCCACTATTTTTTAGGGCAGCGTTATAAAAGTTACTGTGTTGTTGGAATATTTCTTTATTAGCGGAGTTAATGCTGATTCTATTCTCTATTGATGTTTAATTATGGATGGAGGGTGGTTTGACTTCTGGTGTATATATAAGGGGTTAGTATTTGTTTTTTTTATAAGGTTGGTATGTGTTGTTTGTTAAATCTAGAGTTACGTCGAGGAAGTTTACCCTTTTCAGTTTAGTACAGACTGTTATTTTTAAGTTTAGATTTTCTATATATTTTTCACATTTTGCCTGAATGTCCGAGAAATTTCATAGAAAATATGTTCTCAGATAGGAATCGAGCCTGTATCCTGCACGAAACCGCCATGTAGCCTGACATGGTATACTAATTACCCACAGAGGGACCGTCTGGTTTGCAAAGTCAAATTATAGGTAGGGTAAGGTTTCGATTCCTGTCGAAGGACCCACATTTTTAATTAAATTTCTCGGACATTCAGGCCGGTAAATGTAGTTAATAATGTTTATTATAAACAGAGCATTTGCTTAAATATTTGTATCTATAAAAATAACGTATAAACAGAAAATATATTAAAATAATTGTCGGACTTAGTCCATTTCATAATATTTTCATATGTGTGTGCGCGCGCGCACTATATATATATATATATATATATATATATATATTACCAAATGCGACCAACTTCAAGTTGCCTAGATACAATGACACTGATGTATGCGCATTATGTCAAAGTGATCGGGGCAATTTACGTTACGTGCTCTCAGCATGCACACAGTCACCGTAGATGTACACGTGGCGTCATAAAGTGCAGGAAGTGCTCATGGACTTAGTACAGTGTGTCAAGTAGCCAACAGCCTTTAACAGCCAGAGAACCTAAGATCCGTTTTCACAAGTAAGGTGAACGCCCTGAGCGAAAGACCCAAATAACTCCCAAGATGACGCTGCTGAGTGCAGCCTGTGATTTGTGGGGGGTAGTTGATCTTAGGACACCCTTACAATTTCCGATACACATCATTCAAACAGACGCACGCCTTGACATTGTAGCGTGGTCTGATTGAAAGAAGTGTGTTCTAGTAGAATTCTCCTCGTTGTGCTCCTCCATGGGAAGAGGACAAGGAGGAGGCGCACGAGCGAAAGAAAAACTGCAATGAATCTCTGCGATACGACTGCGTGGAAAAGGGATAGACATGTCATAAGCTACCTATTGAGATCGGGAACCGAGGATTCCTTGGGCGGTCAATTGTTTCCTTCATTTTGAAGGTGGGCATCACTGGCCGGAACCTGTAGCGTGCTTCACATCGTCTGCGGACCACAGCTCATCAGGCATGGAGTTGGTTCTGGTCATGATCCGAAATAAATAAAGTTAAATAAAACCATGGTCGCAACACAGAGCTACATCCGACGTGAAACTCCTCTGTTTATCTTCCATTCTACATCATGGATAACGGTCGCTACGAGCACTTTGTGTATTTTAACACAACGTTGAAAATTTCAGTTGCAGAAATCGCAAGAGACTGACACGTATACAAAAAATACCCTGTCTGGTTGCGCCAGAGGTGGCAGTACCGCCTTAGCCACCGAAACTGTGTTACATCTCCTAGTTGTCAGCTGACAGAGCGCAGGTATCGTACGTGCTTTCACACTTTGTACGCAAAGTAATATATATATATATATATATATATATATATATATATATATATATATATATACACACACACAGGGAGAGAGAGATAGAAAGAGGGAAAGAAAGAGTCAAATAAACTGTCCTTTGATTTTTCACTCAAAAATATTACCCACAATGCATTTGACTCGAGATTACAACCTTACAAATTTACGAAAATACGTGAAATAAATAAACCTGATCTACAAATTGATTTCATATAAAGAATACATATTCTATTCATACGAACCTATCCTAAAAATCTTATCAGCTTTAAATAACTCATTGAGGTTGATATGTCGTAAAACAAAATAAACCAAACCAATCTAAATCAAAGAATACATATGCTATTCATACGAATCTATCCTAAAAATGTTGTCGGCATTAAATAACGCATTGAGGTTGATAAAACAAAATAAAGCAAACCAATCTAAATCAAAGAATACATATTCTATTCATACGAACCTATCCTAAAAATCTTATCAGCTTTAAATAACACATTGAGGTTGATATGTCGTAAAACAAAATAAAGCAAACCACACACAAAACCCAAACCATTTCAAGTATGTTGTTAAAGACGTGAAAACTCTTGAAATTAGTTTCAAAACTTGGGAAAAAGGAGCAAAGAATAAGTTTGGTTGTAGAAAGCTAGTTTTTGATGGGTGCAATCACTTTGAAATCAAAAGGGTGGAGCATTTGAAATTGCAAAGACTCTTCGGAAAGGGGATGTAGACTGGAACTCAGAAGATATTCAGTCTGAACTTGTACAGGATGCGGGAAAATACCCCCCCCCCCACATAATAATAAGACATTAGCTAGATGAAAATACCATTACCACTAGAGTCTTACCAATATGTTTGTGGTGGTATTTCTGAGAGGTATCTGTGGGAGGTATTACTGACGCGCACTTTACGGGAATGTTGTTTTATCCTGTGCTGGATTTTCTAGTCATTTAAGATCACATAAAAATCGGCCGTCTAATGTCGATCATGTGAATGTCTTTTCTGACAAACCTGCAGGGGAATTCTGTCAGTTTTGTGATAAAACGTGAAGCTCTGACGCCGGGCTGAAGCGGCACATGAAAGTATAATAGGAAAGTCTTTCGTGTGTCACATATGCAAAAAGGTCTGCAAAGTTATGTAAAGACGTGACAGTTATCATATACATACACTAATATATATATATATATATATATATATATATATATATATATATATATATATATTATATATATATATATATATAAAAGAAATATGTTGTAGTGGTTCCAACGAGAGAAAAGTATGTATATTAAAAAGAAGGGTGGTGCCGCAAACGTTTTTGGTTGTAATGTGGATTTATTAAGAAAAATATTATACTTTGTTTTACATAATTTCACGACACGTGTTTCTGGTCTCGCAACTGTCTTCAGGTGAAAGTGGAGATTTCTACATATTATTAAAAATAATTAATTTTTTCTTCATGTTCAATGTGGAATATTCTCGATATGAGACATTCTGTTTGTGTGTTGGCAATCCGAATTTTCTTTCTAGAATTGTCAATGAAGAGTTCTGCGCGAAGGGTCATAAAACAATTAAGGTTTGTCCAGCGAGTAGTTATCGGCATTTAATCTTTTAATGTTTTAGTGACCTCTATGTGCTCTTGGATCTGTTTCTATTTTGGTGTGTTCCTGTCAGCATGCGTGTATATATGCGTGCGTATATTTCCTTACTACGAGGAATTCGTAAACTTATTTGTACTTATACACACACATACGCACATACACACCATCCCACCACAAGTAGTCAGTACACACACACATATACACACATATTTCCCAAGCTACATGGAACCAGTACACACACACACACACACACACACATAATATATATACCGGGTGTAACAGCAAAATTGTTCAAATCGTGTGTCAGCATGAGATAATAGTCCATCCCACAAACCGTTTAATATCTAAAAAACAAAAAAAAAACACTAAACTACTTTTTTTCCATGTTTTCAGATAAGATGTTTAGCCATCTTTGACACCATTTGTCGTACAAATCACTGAAAATGCCTTTGATTTATACAGCTAAAAAGAAAACAGGTTAAAATCGTTTTGTGTCCCACTCTGTCTTCCCAACTGAGCAATGGCGAGAGGAAAAGATCATTCAGGCCTTCAGTAATGGCACCACCATTCATACACTGGCTTCTATCTTCGAAGTCCATTCAAAAACCATCAAGAGAATGGTGAAGAAGTTTACAAAAAAGTGGGAACAGTTGAGAGGAAAACTGGATCTGGAGGTCACAAGACGGGTCATCATTTCAACTTATAGCTAAATACATTCCTATTGTTCAATATAGAGTCAAATAGTGTTATAAAAACCTCAAAGAATTCTAGTAAGGTAACTTTAATCATTTCTAAGATACAACGGTTCAAAGTTTAATCGAACATCTGGACAGTTTTGCTGTTACATCCGATATGAGAAAATGTTTATTCATTTATTATTTTATTTCCGAAGAACTGCTGACCCCCCCCCAAAAAAAAAATGGCGCGCAGTGTGCCACAAAGTCTCCATCAGCCCTCCTCATGTTTGAAATGTACTTCTTCCAGAATACCCGCCACTCAAGGCAAGAAAGCCTCGTCTACCCTACTGCTATTACTATTATTATTAATATTCTATCCCTCGATAATGAGCAATGCAATTACAAAGGCTGCTTTCCCATACGATGACTGAAGTTAAACAATGTCGAACCTGGTCAGTACGTAGATGAGAGACCTCTTGGGTATATCAGATGCTGTAAATTAAGATGTGCACTAAAGCAGATTGATAAAAGTTAACAACTGAATCTATCCCTTTAATCATCGTCATATATTATAATGAACAATTTTACTTTTTCTGTATATTTCAGTGGTTCTCTGTCTGTTATTGAAACATTGGTTCCCATATAATCAGCAAAGTTAAGCAAAATTAAGTCTGGTCAGTACCTAAATGGGTGACCACTTGGGAACGTAGAATTTCTAATCAGAGAGCCAAGTTCCAATTCCTTTTAGTTTCGTTATATTCACTTACGTGCAAATATCCATTGGGGAAAAGGTATGAATCCAACTCTTCTCCCCCAGCTATGGGTTATTTATTAAGACTTGTATCACTAAACCATTATCATCTCAAAAAAGAATTCTTACAATGCAATTGCAGAGGGCTGCTTTCCCGTACGGTCACTGAAGTTAAGCAATGTCGAGCCTGGTCAGTACCTAGATGAGAGACCGCTTGCGAATACCAGATGCTGTAAACTAGGATGTGTAATGATAATGGCTCGGAATTCATCTAAAAAGAAAAAATCTTACAATCTGAACATATTTTTTGACTTTGAATATACAGCAAAGGGTTGATAAACCGTAAAAACGAATCAACCAACTCAATCAAATCTTCCAGAAATACTCTGGTCGACTGTTTTTGAGCGAAAACTAATCTTTGTTATATATATTGAATGGCGACAGCTTGTTTTATATTGATGTAGGCCATATGGATGAAAGAGTAGCGTGGTTATTTATATATATATTTTTACTAGGGAAATTATGAGTAAGAAAGCCGTTTATTTCCACTATATATATATATATATATATATATATATATATATATATATATATATATATATATATATATATAAATGACCGGTCACTCTCGTTTCCTGAGCACCCTCATCTGCTAGGGTGGCTAGCCAATCTCTGTTGCAGACACCTGCTCAGGCACATTTGTATCTGTTCAACAACCACAGAACCAACCTGTACTTTTGTACTGAAACTATGACGAGCGGAACTTCTGAGAGAGAACGCATAATCTATCATGATCAGCAGTTTGGACAAGGCCAGATCACTCAAACCATCGGTCACGATGACTTGTGACTCCGTGTTAGCCCAACCATCTACAGCTTCCGAACAGTTCAGACTAGTCATTTTCACACACCAGTCTTGGGTCAACTCATGATATTTTTTTCCAAGCACTTTCCAAAGTTGCCGCACGCTGAAATCGCCTACCCACAGCCACCCAGAACGATAGCAACAAGAAGCCACCTTCCCTGACAAATCGACTATGGTGAGATTCAAACACTGGTTTTATAGTTTTAAACAATGTGGATATAGACATCAACACTGATTTGTTTTATGTCTACTTTATTTATATCGGCAAACTCTCCATTCCCCGATACTGAACACTTTTTCCTCATCGATGAAACAAATATTACTGAAACACTTGAGATATCCAAAAAACCAAGTGGGTTTATATATCATGAGCGCCAAATTATATTTGTTTGGTTTGGTTTGTTTTACGGCATATCAACCTCAATGGGTTATTTAATGCCGACAAGACTTTTATTGCTGGTAATATTTCTATCTATCTATCTATCTATCTATCTATCTATCTGTTTGGTTTGTTCCGTTTTACGGCATATCAAACTCAATCGGTTATTTAATGCCGACATTTTTATTGCTGGTAATATTTTTTTTCCAAAAAGTATTTCTGGTTATATTTTTCGGAAAAAAATGTTACTGAAAATATTTTTCCTTCAAAAATATATGCTGGGAATATTTTTTTTTTCTAAAAATGTATTGCTGGTATTTTTATTTATTTTTTTTTTTTTTTTCAAAAATGTATTGCTGGTAATAATTTTTCTTCAAATTTCATTGCTAGTAATAATTTTTTGCAAAAATGTATTGCTGGTACTAATACCTATTTTTACACTTTTATAGTGTTTTGACCTCAATTTGGGGTTAACTATTTGCCCATAGCTGGGACTCTAACAGGTGCTACCACCCCGGGTCAGTGTAGACCTGGGAAGACCAGCAATTCAGAGGTTGTTCCACTTTCCTCAAAACCTCCTTTCTGATGTATGTAGTTTATCGTCTTACCCAGGACGGAGTATGTTTGAAAGCTGACCAAAAGCGAGCATTATTTTACAGCCTTTTCGATAGTCTCGTTCATGGGAACGACTTGTCAGTGTTGATAAAACAGTTACACTATCATGATCCGAGGAAGAAACAATAGTCTACGCCGATGTGGCATTCAGATTATCTACCCTCCGAGGAAACGTCATGGTCACGGATTTTTTTATTTTTTTCCCGGGGCGGGGGTCTCAGTTATGGGCAAATAGTTAACCTAGAAACTGAGGTAAAAAGCATTATAAAAGTGTAAAAATAGGTTTTAATACCAGAAATACTTTGTAAAAAATTATTACCAGAAATAAACTTTTGAAGAAAAAAATATTACCAGCTATATGTTTTTGAAAAATATTACCAGCTATATGCTTTTGAAAAATATTACCAGCTATACGTTTTTGAAAAATATTACCAGCTATACGTTTTTGAAAAATATTACCAGCTATACGTTTTTAAAAAATATTACCAGCTATGTTTTTGAAATATATTACCAGCTATACGTTTTTGAAAAAATATTACCAGCTATACGTTTTTAAAAAAATATTACCAGCTATATGTTTTTGAAAAATATTACCAGCTATACGTTTTTTAAAAAAAATATTACCAGCTATATGTTTTTGAAAAATATTACCAGCTATACGTTTTTAAAAAAATATTACCAGAAATAGATTTTTGACAAAACAAAATATTACCAATAAAAAAAAAAAAGTTGTCGGCATTAAATGACCCATTGAGGTTGAAATGCCGTAAAGCAAAACAAACCAAACTAAACTTAACTCGGAACGTTCTTGCAACGCTTCTTGCACGTTGTAATTTGGTTAGGGATATGTGACGTTGTGGCGCCCTTACTGTAACGTTGTCATCAACTCTTTTCCTGAACCCAAACTGACCGATCATCTTCAGCATTTTTATGATAACCTTGGGAAGTGTTGTATTTGAGAAACTTCTCTCTGGTTAACTAATATCAGAATATTTCTTTCTTTATTTAACAATATGTGCAGAAAGTATAACCTTTCTTGTGTTTTTTTTTTTAATTGAAAACCATTAATTTAAATGATGAACACACGTTGTCATATCTTCTTGTAATTTATCATCCATTTTTTGCGGAGCACTTGGCACATTAAAGGAATTGTATTTGAGATGTTACAAGGTAACGTTGCAGGCGCGACGTGGGGAGTCTAGAGAAGTCTAAAGGATACCCACATTTTGAGTAAACGCTTTGTATATTTATTTATTTTCGTCTACCGGCCTGAAAATTTGAGAAAGCTTTGTTTGCTTTTGGATACGAAACCGAGCAAATATGAATGTTTCGAGAGCCAGAGAAAAAATTGGTTTATAAGGCACTATTCAACATATTTATATTCATTTGTTGAAAAGTTGTTATAGTTATAGTGAAAGAGTGCTCAGTATCGGAGATAAAACCAGGAAGTGTTAATTCCCCCCCTCTCTCTCTCTCTCTCTCTCTCTCTCTCCCGCTCACTCACACACACATGTGTATGTGTGCGTGCGTTAACTAGCAGAAAGGACGAAGTCAACAATTTGGGAACAGCCTTTGAAATACAATTAGTCGTTAATTTCACATATGAACTAAGTATAAATAACAATTTCCTTTTTAGACGTACCAGTTGATCCGAATAATGAAAACTTTAGAGCCCCAGTCTCTAGAAAACCCAAAATCCAGGCAAATGAAATCTGTGTCTACACAGATATAACATAGCCATTATAAATAATTTAATAACTAGAATACATTTAATATCCTCTACGTACACATATTTAACGAGCTCAAAAACATAAAACTAATTAACAATAATTTCCCGAACCACATACTTGATAAACAAATTAAACTAACACTGAAAAAATCAAACCAACAATAATACAAATTATTATTATTATTATTTACAAAGAACATCACTAAACTATCATTTCATAATTAGACTCTCATAAGGCAAGTGGTAAAGACAAGGATACCATTCGTCCTTGCATTGAATACTGTTGCCATATCTGGTCTGATGCCTCTGCCGTTCATCTCGATGAAAATCCAAAGAAAGATCTGAAATGTAATCAGTCCTGAATTGGCTTCCGACTTAAGATACTCTCTCACAGACGTGACGTGGCTTCCCACTGTCTTTTCTACAAATATATTCATGGCAACTGCTCTGACGGGCCTTTATCCCCGGTGCCCCGACTACATGAATTTAAGCGCGTTGCTAGATTGGCATTTAGGTCCCACCTATTTGCTTTTGAAATAGTTAAATGTAACCGCCTTTTCTACTCCAACAGTTTCTTTTCTTGCACTGCCCGACATTGGAACTCCGTTCCTCTCACTTGCTAGCCTGATAAACACAATTTTCAAAAATTTAAATGCAACGTCAATCGCCATCTCCTCCCCCCATCCCACTCTTTTCTCTCACTTTCACTACGTAACTCCCTTCGTGACTCCCTTCTGCCTTGCTTGGGGTGAAATGCCTAAATATCTACATGGACAAACTACATAATAGCCACAAATTAGATGAAAACATTATAAAAGACTAAATATATCAATACATGTAGCCTAACGACAAAAACAAACAAATGAAAATGAAATTCGACAAAACAACTGAAAAAAACACAATCACCACAAACGATGCAGAAAAAATCAAAACCAATGTTGTCTAGGAATTCGTTTGCCAACTTGAAAAATGCCCCTTCAATAATAATAATTCAAACACATACATTGATTACGCAACTACTACATTATCATGTCGATTAAAATTGATTATTACCAACCAACGCATCAACAAAATACATGAAAACAAATTCATACTAATAACACAAAATGTAATATATAAATATATAATAATATATTATAAATAAGCAATAAGGGTACAAACAAAAAAACGAATATGTATCAATGAACTTTTATCAATTTTGAAATAAACATAGTAAATATATACCATAAACATTTTTTAAAAAAGACGACATAATACGAAAGGATATGTGAAGACGTAATACTTTAAAAAACTGACATGACGTGAAAATGTGATATTTTCAAAACGATGAAATTGGCATAAAACAAAAACAAAAAAATATTTGATAGTGATTGATGAACGCCGAAAGTACTCAGACATTGAACGATTTATATTTAAACTTGTAACGGAAACCTAGGAAAATGATTTTTTTTCTTTTAAGCATTCAACCCCAAGCAAGGAGGGAAGTCACTAGCCTGCAAGGGGTTACAGAGAGTTGGAGCGAAAGCAAAGATGAGTGATAGAGGAAAGGATGAAGAGACGGTTAGGGATATATCAGGGCATCTGGAGACATCGATTGACATTACATTTGAATAGTTGGAGATTATAGCTATCAGGGAAAGAGGAAAAGG